AGGGTTATGAAGGATGATTTTACAAAATGGAGTAATTTACAAAATGGAGTATAGGCAGTAAAGACTAATAAGGGCGTAGGTTGTGTTGGCGTCGCATGATAGGTAGAATGCAAGCCTTACGCCGTGACCGGATTGGTCAGAGGGATAGAGAGGGAAAATATGTGTTGGGTATAAAAGCTGTTGTTTGTGTATTGTAACGGCAGAGACCATACCTGCCAAGGTGTGCTCTCTCCATGCCTGCAGACATGAAAATAAAACCTCTTACTACTATCCTGGTGTGAATATTTGCATAACAAGACTAGGATTTATGATACGTAGGTTCAAATCCCGCTTGGGCATGTAAACTCATGGCGATGTCGAAGCCATCAAGCACTCTTTGAACATCTCAAATACCTTGAAAGCTATTTTTTACAGGGGATAAAAAAAGATGGGGGGAGTTTTCCCCCCAGAAAAAAAATGGATTTTTTTGGAAATTTTACATCTCTAGGATTGCCATAGGTTGGAAGTGACCTTACATCCCATAATACACACAGCCAAACAATACCACTTACTCACTTCATGTCTAAAGGTGCAGGAGAGTTATTGCGTCAGGGAATTGATATGGGAAGAAAACTCTTTTAAGAGATAGCACATTATTCATTACTCACCACTACTCAGTAACAATAACATGTCATATTTCAAATGCAGGTGTAGGTCATATACCTTTATTCGAGCACTTTAAAAAATAAAATCAAACAATCAGCAAGTTTTCATGGGTCAAGTCCATTTCCTCAGGCCATGAACCAATGTCTTGTGAATGGTGCAGAAAAATGATAACTGAGAATCCCAAAAGCTCAGGGCAACTGTTTGTGCCAGGCTTGCTTCTTAGAGGTGAGCTAGAAAAAACACAGGCTGCGTTGGAGGTGTGATATTCAAACCACACCCAGGTAGCTGATGATTGGATATCACACACACACACCCAGCACCACAAACAGAGAATTACCAGGTAATATGCATGCTCTCCCCTGCAATACAAATAACCTTATTTTAAAACATTGAGTACCTATTTGGCTGAGGAACAGGGCAACACAAAAATCTGGAGTCTTCCATCAGGGAATTGGGGTTAAAATTTAGCAGAACTAATTGGAGCCAAATTAAAGCCAAATTAATATATTATCCGGGTGTTTTGAGTAGGCAACTCCTCCAGTTTGCAGTCCCGCTTGGCCAATGTTAAGAGTCCCTGTTGTATCCCTGGTGGTGCTGTGGATTTCTTCCCCCACCCCTTGGTATCCTTAATGGTTCCATAAAAAGCAAAGAAAGCCATGTGGTCCTCAATGCAGGTGTAGGGGATACCATCTTTTTTTAAAAAAAAAATCCAACCATCAGCGAGCTTTCGTGGGTCACTCTTTTTATGTCACTTTTCAGTTAAAGGTAAAGGTTCCCCTTGACAATTTTTGTCCAGCCGTGTCCGACTCTAGGGGGCAGTGCTCATCCCGCTCTTCAAGCCATAGAGCCAGTGTTTGTCCGAAGACAATCTTTCCGTGGTCACATGGCCAGTGTGATTTAGACATGGAACGCTGTTTACCTTCCCACCGAGATGGTACCTATTTATCTACTCGCATTTGCATGCTTTCGAACCGCTAGGTTGGCGGGAGCTGGGACAAGCGACGGGCGCTCACTCCGTCGCATGGGTTCGATCTTACGACTGCTTGGACTTCTGACCCTGCAGCACAGGCTTCTGCGGTTTAGCCCACAGTGCCACCACGTCCCTTTTACTTTTCAGTTACCCTTTTCAAAATAAAATGTACTAAAACAATACAAAAATAGGTGTCAGCCCTCCACTGTGCTCCAAACAGAATCTTGGCTTCCATTACTGATCTTCACAAGGTCAAATAAGACATAACTTAAAATGCACCTTTGCATTTAAAAACACACACACACACACACAAACCAGTAGATTTCCATGACCAAGCAGGGGTTCGGATTCAGGTTCCTTAATCCTAGTCCGTCAGTTATTAGTGACAAATTTCAGCATCATGGAATTTGAGTAAGCAGGCTAATCCTTTGGTTCTGATAACAAACATTCCTCGGAAGCTGCCATTCACATAGCTTCCATTCCAAGGCAAGTAATAACTTGGGTGACCTATTTTTGTCATACTACAACAGAAAAAGAAACCATGGCATTTATCACCGCTGCAACCACCATCTATGAAAAACGACCATATACCCCCAAATGGCTGCTACATGCATTTTTTTAAAGGTACATAAAGGAGTGAGAGCTTAGGCCAAATAAAACACGTGAGGCTTTAATGTGCCTTGTTATTTCAGCTGCAACAGACTGCCATGGCAAGCCTCCTGGAAATTAATTGCAGACATACATTTAGCATTATGTCTCGCTTGGCCTTCATAGAGAAATATGTTTTCAGGAATCCCAAGGCTTCCTGAGAATACAATTTGAATGGTAACGGCTGTGTATGATGATCATTGCAAATGTTCTTATATAAACACACTTCCACATTCTAAAAAAGAAAGAGGTGACCTCTCCCTCAGTCTAAAGACTAAGGCTGAATCCGGATAAGACAGAAGTTCTGAGGGTGGGTGCCCCCGTGGTAGGTGGCTTGGGTGGCTCTCTCACATTTGGGGGGACCACCTTGGCCGCGAAGAGTGGGGTCCGCAGCCTCGGCATATATTTGGACCCGACGCTCACCATGGAAACTCAGGTGGCGTCGGTAGTCCGCACCGCATTTTTCCATCTTTGGCGGATTGCCCGGCTGCGACCCTATCTCGACATGGGGGCGCTCACTACCTTGGTGCATGCGCTCGTAATCTCAAGATTAGATCACTGTAACACGCTCTACGTGGGGCTGCCTTTGAGGCTGACACGGAAACTTCAGGTGGTGCAGAATGCTGCGGCCAGACTCCTTACTGGAGTGAGTAAACACCATCATATTTCTCCTACGCTGGCTGCATTGCATTGGCTGCCCATCTGTTTCCG